GCATCTCTCCAGCCACTACCACATCTTTTTCTAAAAATGAAATTCTAGGGCTGCTGAGACGGCAGAAGACTCAGCACCCACATGGTGGCTAACAACCATCTGTAACTCCAGTTCTAGGGAATCCAATGACCTCTTCTGACCTCCCATATATTGCACAACATGGGTGCACCTACCTACATGCAGGCAATACATTCATACACATAAAATAAAAATAATTTAAAAAATTTTAAAAAACCTAAAAATGAAATTCTTTGTAAGGCATAAAGTCAATCACATATGAATAAAGAATGGGTTTCCCTTTTCCTTAGGTTTCCAGGGAGTGTATCGTAGCTTTTCTTTTTCTTTTCTAAAATAATTTCCAGAATTATCCTGGTTCTGGTAGAAAGACTTGTTTGTGTACTTGATTTTTCTTGGTGATTTGTCTTTTCTGAAAGCTCAGATGAACTAGCCTCAAAGGAGCCTGTGTGTGATTGCCCTGGCCATTCCTTCCATCCTTAGGCTGCATCCACATTGCATGCTCCTCACATGGAGGCCACTTTGTCCTTCCTAGAGCTTTAAAGAAACTACTGTGTCCTCACTTTTTGGGGACACATATGCTTCTGTCTGGGTGATGGCAAAAAGTTTATTTCTGAGATTTATTTTTTAAAGAAGAGGAAGAAGAGACTGGGGGGATGGCTCAGTGATTAAGAGCACTGGCTGCTCTTGCAGAGGACCTGGGTTCTATTTCCAGCACCCACATGGAAGCTAACAACTGTCCGTAACTCTAGTTCCAGGGGAGCTGATGTCCTTTTCTGACCTCCATAGGCAATGCACGACACAGGTACACTTTCATACATGCAGGCAATATACTCATACACATAAAAAAAATAATAAACAAAATATTTTTTAAAAAGAAGAGGAAATAAAACTCAGAGGCAGCATTTTAGGGCAAACAAAAAGTAACCATCCAAGGGATAGGGGATGTGGACGTGGGGTCCTGAATTTGGATCCCCAATACCTACATACAAGCAGGACACAGGGACCAATTCAGGTGGATCCCTAGAGCTCTCTGACCAGCCATCGTAGCTAAATCAGTGAGCTCTAGGTTCAGTGAGAGATATTGCCTCAAAAATAATGAGAAGTGACTGAAGAGGATGCTCAGTGTTGCAACCTCTGACTGACACACACGCATGCCTGTGCGTGCACAAATGCATGCACAACGTGCACACATGATTTGTCACCTACACACTCATATGTACGTACATGTACACACAGAGTAACCATTCCAGAAAAATACGGCTTCCCATGTGGTGATAGTTGAGGCTGCAGACTGACCTCTCTGTGCCTCTTCATCGCCCTCCACAATTCATGTTCTCTGAGAATGGCTATGTCTGGCAAGTCTGTCTCATCTTTGCTTTTCTGTGCCTGCTGCAGCCCTGGTTTGGTGCTTTACCATCAGAGGGATCCCTGAAAACCCAACTTCTAAATGTTTTTGTATTTGTTTTTATTTCATGTGTATGAGTGTTTTGCCTGCCTGTATGTAAGTGCACTGGCTTGTGCAGTGGTCACAGAGGTCAGAAGAGAAGACCCAACTTCTAATTGAGTAGAGAGATATTTTTTAAGGTGGCACTATGAACTTAGAAAGAACTGGTCCACATTCCATCAGTGTTTGTAAGGTGGAGCCCAGAGTTCAGTTGACTCATGTGTTCAGGTTAGGAATAAAGAAAGAAAATCGATTAAAACTAAATAGCTTTTAATCTGAACCAAAACCTTTTAATTTTATTGCTGAATGTTGGAAATCAAAGTGTTTCTGTGTTGTCTGATAATTATTTTGTAAGATGACATAGTTCTGTTTTGAAATTCATTGTCCCCGAGCCTTGGAGGGCAGATGTAGGATGATCTTTCTTCTGTTGTGGTGAGATATTGAAGTCTTGGGCATTCTCTTCATTTGTTTCCAAGACATGGCTGTTGATTCATCTCAGTGGTATTTCTCCTACTATAAAGATGAAAGCTGGGCGTGGTGGCACACACCTTTAATCCCAGCACTCGGGATGCAGAGGCAGGCAGATCTCTGTGAGTTCAAGGCCAGCCTGGTCTACGTAGCAAGTTCCAGGCCATACGGGTCTACAGGGAGACCCTGTGAAAAGAAGTAGGAACATCTAAACGAACATAGACTGTTTTCAATTTTTTAAATTTCCTTTTAACATATTTTAATATTAAGTATTAATTTATTTACCAGTTTCAAGATTGCTATGTGAAATTCTAAATTATTTTGGAGAGTTTACAAATCTGTTTATTTTTGAAGTTTTAAGTGTTTAAGTTCCCTGTGGATTTATTTTTTACTCCTTAATTCTAGTTCTTTTTCCATGTGGTTATATAGATGATTTCTCCTTATTAAATATTTAATTTATTTTAGTGTCCATCTTATTTTGAAAAGTATAAAAGAAAAATATACTGCTTATGAATCATGTACATTTGTGCCCTGAGAAAGTGCCCTATAGTTAATTTTGTCTTTTTTTTTCAGAGCTGAGGACTGAACCCAGGGCCTTCCACTTGCTAGGCAAGCGGTCTACCACTGAGCTAAATCTCCAACCCCAGTACTCTATAGTTAAATGTCACCACATTTAAGTGTATTTCCTGAGCATTTTAAAAGCATATTAGTTAGAATTTATAACCATGTATTTCCTCAAACTTCTGAAAACTTTGTTTTAAAGTACACAGGATGAACTGGTACTGGCTGCCCTGGTCTTAAGACAATTGTCTGCTATAAATGAAAATGAACTTAATTTTTTCAAGGATATATGATTTAATTAAACATTCATATTTTAAAATGTGTTTGGGATGTGTTTTAGTTTCAGTGTTGTGTAGTTAACAGACACCAGTAGAGGGCACTCCAGGTCCCCTCTAGCTCTGAATTTGAAAATGTAGATTTTTTTTTTTGGAAGGAATCCGCTTAGAAATACTCAAAGGTTTTACTAAAGGATACTAATTGTATCCTTCCTTGACCCTGAAGGAAAAAGCATCTCATTTTTGTTTCCATACTTTATGTAAACTACAACTGAAGCTGGAGAGATGGCTTAGCAGTTAAGAGCACTGACTACTCTTGCAGAGGTCCCAGATTCAGTTCCCAGCACCACTTGACAACTAACAGCCATCGCTAAACTCCAGTTCTAGGGACTCTGACGCCCACTTCTTACCTCCATGGCCTCTGCACACATTGGTGCGCTTGTATACATGCAGACAAAATACTCGTATGCACAAAATAAAAATAAAAAATAAAATAAATCTTTAAGTAAACTTTTCTCTAATGTAATTGTCTCAGCAACAACAACTAATACATAACATAACTTCTGATGATCCATCATGCAACTTAAGGCCTTTAAAATTAAAATCTCACCTGAGTATGGTGTCACACTCATGCTAAGGCCCAGCACAGGGGGGTCTGAGGCTGGATGATGGAGAGTTACCAGCCTGGGCTGCACAGGGAATTCAAGCCTAAACTGGATTACATAGTGAATTTGAGACCAGTCTAAGCAAGTCCCCATCTTTGAAAAAAAATGAGTAATAAGTGTCGGTGAGATGGCTCAGCACTTTGCACCAAGGCCAGTGACCTGGATTTGATCCCTAGGACCCATATGGTAGAAGGAGAAATCTGACTCCTGAAAGTAAGGTCTGTCCTGCACTGTGCATGGTGGCATGCCGACACATACATACAAATATACAAAATACATAAATGAAATATAATACAAATTTAAAAAAAATAAAGCTTAGAAATTTTTAATGACAATTTGGTCATTTGAGGAGGAGTATTTGTGGCTCTTATCATTTGAAATTGGGTTAAACACATTAACCCATGGTTAATGGGTTAAAAAAAATGACTTTTCAGGCTGGAGAGATGGCTCAGCAGTTAAGAGCACTGGCTGTTCCTGCAGAGGACCCCGTTCGCTTCCAGCACCCACGTGGTGGCTATCAACCAACTGTAACTCCAGTTCCAGGGGATCTGATGCCCTCTTCTGACCTCTGTGGGCATCATGACATGGGTACACTTACATACATGCAGGAAATACAATCATGCACATAAAATAAAAATAATAAGGGGCTGGAGAGATGGCTCAGCAGTTAAGAGCACTGACTGCTCTTGCAGAGGAGTCAGGTTTGATTCCCAGCACCCACATGGTGGCTACGAACCGTCCTTAACTCCAGTTCCAGGGGAATCTGAAGCCCTCTTCTGACCTCCACGGCATTGCATGGCACGGGTGCACTGACATACATGCACACAATACACTTGTACACATAAAATAAAAATAATAAAATAATTTTAAACTCTGTTTCCAATTCTTTCTCATGTTCCATTAAGTCCACTCTTAACCGGGCTTTTGCCCCCACCATTATAGCAAAAATGGTCTTGCCAAACTCATCAACTGTCTCCACTTGCTAAGTCTAAGTCAGTTCTGTGTTCATCCTCCTTGACCTGCCAGCCTGAATTTCACCTATGAGCTGCAGATTCACTCCCCATTTTAATGCTTCCTTTTGGATAGCTCATAGATACCAAACTTTGCATGTCCAAATTTGAATTCCTGATCTTCTGTCCCCACATTCACTTCATGTGTGGTCCTTTGTAAAGTCTCTTCATTCTACCATTCCAGTTGCTCAGGCTAAAAACCTTGCATACATTCCTGGCTCTTTCCTTTATAGCTCACATTGAATCTATCAGAAATGCAGTTGGTTTTATCTTTGAAATATTTTTAGGTGGTCTCATTGTATAACCCTGGCTGGGCTGGAACCACACTGGGCTAAATGCAGTCATTTTTTTAAACATTAGGTTATTCCAATGGTGGTGTCACAGTCAGGTGATGCATGGAAACACCAAATCTCGCAGCACAGAGAAGGAAAGATTTGTTTTACTTGGAATTTTTGTGCGTTCAGAAAGTTCTTATACCAAACCTGCAGCGGCTATGTGAGGGCTTTTCCTTATTGTTAGAGGGCTGGTCTTAACTTCTGCCTTTTGGTTTCCTTTATAGACCCCAGAAGAAAATATCACGTGAGGCTGTTGGCTTACAGTAACGTGGAGGATGGCTACCAGGCCGACCAGACTGTCAGCACACCAGGATGCGTGTGTGAGTGAGAGCTACATAGCTTTTTGTTGTCACTTACATATCTTTTTCTCTTTCAGATGCTTAAAAATCTCAGTCTCATGGGGCTGGAGAGATGGCTCAGCTGTTAAGAGCACTGGTTGTTCTTATAGAGCACCCAGGTTCAGTTCCCAGCACCCATACGGCAACTAACAACTGTCTGTAACTCTAGTTCCAGGGGATTTGATGTACTCTTCTGGCCTCTGTCGGCACTGCATGTACGTGGTGCACTTACACGGACGTGCAGTCAAACATTCTAAAAATTTGTCTCACTACTACTTATAGGGCTGGGTTGGTTAATTTCTCTATATCCTTCATTCTGCCCAGCATATCCTAAATGAATCAATGTTCAGTTAAGAGTGAGACGTTCGGACTGTAAGGATCTATTTTATGTTTACAAGTGAAAGACCGAACACCTATATCCTGTGTTTTGTTTCATCTTCTTTTGCTTTGAGGCAAATTGCTTCTCTCTAGTTACTTCTGTTTTCGCTGGTCTGGCTCTGGCTTTTTCAGTGTCCTTCTGACATTGTTTTTTATAATCTCTTAAGTATTTGACTCTTGAAAGAGCTGTTTAGGTTTGCATGTGTCAGCTGTAGATCACTGTAAGACTCTGGTGGCAGGACAGCAGATGAACTGATGGGGTGCTTCCTTCTTTGGCCATTTTACTTCTGTCTGCAGTATCAAATGTGGTGGTAAATTAACATTGTATTTCTCAATAGCCGTTCGTGATCGCATGGTTCCTCCTCCACCGCCACCCCACCATCTCTATGCCATGGCAAACACCTCATCTTCCATCTTCCTGCACTGGAGGAGGCCTGCGTTCACCACTGCACAAGCCATTAACTACACCATCCGCTGTAACCCTGTGGGCCTGCAGAATGCTTCTCTGGTTCAGTACCTGCAAACGTATGTAGCTGTTCTCCATGGCTGATCCTTTGCCTTCTCCTCCACTTGTGTGCACTTCTTGCTGTCTTGGGCTCAGCCTGGGCTTCATCTGAGAGCATTTTTTTTTCAGAGTTCATGTTCCCAAATGTCTTGGCGTTTTACCTCCCATCATTTCATTTCATTTTGAAAATGTTACGTCTTAGCATTTAAAACATTTTATTCAGAGTTCATGTTCCCAAATGTCTTGGAGTTTTACCTCCCATCATTTCATTTCATTTCATTTTGAAAATGTTACGTCTTAGCATTTAAAACATTTTATTCTTGGAGGCCTCATGCAACTTGATTAGGCAAGAAACTAATATTTCAAATAACTAAATTTAGCACATATAAAGGAAAAAAATGACCATTTTCATGCTGAGTGTGGTGGCACAGGACCCAGGAGGCAGATGCAGGAGAATCACAAGTTTAGGACCAGTATGGGCTACATAAGGAGACCCTGTAAAATACTAAAGGGGCTAGAGAGGCAGCTCAGCTGTTTAAGGCCCAGGCTCACACCTAAAAAAAACAAACTTAAGGGCCAGTAAGATGGCTCAGCAGGTGAAAGGTACTTGCCACCAACCTGAATTTCATCTGTAGGATCCATATGGTGGAAGGAAAGAACTGACTCCTTGAAGTTGTTCTCTGTACACCATGGCAAGCCCACACCCACATGTGCACGCGCGCACACACACACACACACACACACACACACACACACACACACACTCAAAATGCTCTAAAAATTTTTAAGCAAAAAAAACAAAACCCAAAAAACCAGAGAGTAAGGGCTGAGGATGCAGTCAAGGCCTGCCTTTGATCCCCAGCACTGTAGATCATTTTTGCACTACCATCAAAAAGTAGGGCAAATTGTCCTTCTGTTTTTTGAGTTAGAATTGGAAAAATGGTCATCTTAAAAGAATGATTGGGTTTCCAGTATTTCAGAGAGAAATCCTATGTATTGGGACAATCCTATAATGTTAATTTTTTGTTTCTTCTTAGGCAACTCTTAGGCTTACTTCTCTAGGATATTACCAAATGTAATTTAATACTCAGCACAGATAGCTGTTAGGGTCTAAAAAAATGTTTGTTAAAAACATGAGGAATGGCGCTGGAGAGATGGCTCAGCGGTTAAGAGCACTGGCTGCTCTTGCAGAGGACCCGAGTTCGATACCCAGCACCCACATGGCAGCTACGAACCGTCCTTAACTCCATGTCCATGGGAATCCGAAGCCCTCTTCTGACCTCCGTGGCATTGCACCACACGGGTGCACTCACTTACATGCAGGCAATATACTCATACACATAAAATAAAAATAATAAAATATTTTTAAAATACAGAAAAAAAAAAACAACAAAAAAACCCAAAACCATGAGGAACTGGGACTGCAGAGGTGGCTTAGAATTTAAGAGCATTTGCAAAGGACACGAGTTTGGTTCCCAGCACCCTTGTTAGGTGGCAGCTCATAACTCTAGCCCCAGGAAATCCTAGGCCCTCTTCTCCCCTCCGTGGTCACTGCACTCATGCATATAACCACACACAAACATGCACATAATTAAAAATTTTAAAAAGTGTGTTCCTCTTTGGGTTGGGTGTGCTGACTCTATTAGAGATGTGCTACTGGTGTTAACAACTTCCTTACTCTTTAATACAGATCAGAAACTCACATGTTGGTTCAAGATCTAGAACCAAACACCAAGTATGAATTTGCCGTTCGACTGCATGTGGATCAGCTCTCCAGTCCCTGGAGCCCTGTGGTCTACCACTCCACCCTTCCAGAAGGTAGAGGAGGCAGTTTCTCTATGGATTTTATCTTTTAAAAAAATGTTTTAAGGATGTGTTTAAAAAGTATGAATGTCAGCCGGGTGTGGTGGCACACTCCTTTAATCCCAGTACTCAGGAGGCAGAGGTAGGCAGATCTCTGGGAGTTCAAGGCCAGCCTGGACTACATAGTGAGCTCTAGGCCAGCTGAGGCTACAGGGAGACCCTGTCTCAACCGCTCTCCCTAAAATTTATTTTACTATTTTTATTTAATGTGTATGAGTGTATTGTCTGCATTTAACTGACTAAAGGTGTGTGCCACCCACCTAGCAAAATAAAATATTTTTAAAAATTATAAGCAAATGAGTTTTAATTTGTGTCCCCTTGGAGATTCCTTTTTAAATGTCAGTAAAGACATTCAGGTCTAAATTCCAGCTCACTAAAAGTGGATGTCCATGGCTGATGCTATTTCTTAATGTTCTTTAAAAAAACAAACAACAAAGGGCTGGAGAGATGGCTCCATGGTTAAGAGCACTGACTACTCTTGCAGAGGACCTGGGTTCAATTCCCAGCACCCACATGGCAGCTCACAACCATCTGAACTCCAGTTCCAGGGGATCCGATGCCTTCTTCTAACCTCTACAGGCACTGCACAGCGCGGGTGCATTTACACACATGCAGGCAATACACTCATACACATAAAATAAAAATAATAAATAATAAAAAAACAATAAACAAACAACAAGCATGGTGTGGTAGTGCACGCCTTTAATCTAAGCACTTGGGAGCCAGAGGCAGGCAGATCTCTGTGAGTTCAAGACCAGCCTGGTCTACATAGTGAGTTCCAGGACACCTGGGGCTACAGGGAGACTGTCACAAAAAGATAAAAAAAAACAAACAACAACAAAAAACCCAGGGTCTCACTATGCAGCCCTGGCTGGTCAAACCAGGGCTTTGCAGATCTGCCTCTACCTCTGGTCAAACCCACTATGCAGACCTGCCTCTGCCTCTGGAGTGCTGCCTGGCTGGTCAAACCCACTATGCAGACCTGCCTCTGCCTCTGGAGTGCTGGATTAAAGGTGTGTGCCACCATTCCTGGTGTTATTAATATTCTTTTTAAAAATGCTTTATTATTCTTATTTTTATGCGTACAAATTTATTGCCTGCATGAATGTAAGTGCACCTGTGTCATGCAGTGCCCACAGAGGTCAGAGGAGGGTGTCAGATCCCCTGGGACTGGAATTATAGACAGTTGTTAGCTGCCATGTGCATGCTGGGAATCGAACCCGGTCCTCTGCAAGAGCAGCCCATGCTCTTAACTGCTGAGCCATCTCCAGCCGCCATTGTCAATGTTCTTAAGAGCCTGTGTCGGAATCCCATTTTCCCAGTGCTGTGTATATTCCTGACTGCACTAGCTATGCCAACTAACATGGGGCTGTAGCTCAGATGTTTTATGTCTCTAGAATAGCATTTCTTTATTTCTAGAACGAGGGTAAAGAACTACATGACCCAGAAGGTGCGGTCCTGCTGTGCTTTTAGCTGTGGTGAGAGAAAGCAGGGCACATGCATACCTCTCTGTGAGCAGAGGACTTCCTTGCTGTGATTTTTGACACCATCCCATAAAGGCGTGCTACTAAAATCCATTCCTTAATACTTTGAAGGCTTATTAAATATTAAGTCAACAGAAACTGCAGGATTTCACTGCTTTTCACAGACAGAAATTATTAGATTCAAATCTGCTCTATAAATGCACCTATTCCCAGTGTCTTGGGAAATAACTAAATACTCCAGTCTCAGAACTATTTTTTTCAAGACCTTCTGGATCAGGTTATCAATGTAAACATTTCAGTAGGAGCTACAGTTGAGTCGGTACTGATGGGTGGAACCCTTTATCTGATGGACAGGTATGTCAGTAAACTAGTAAACTGCTCTTTCCTCCCTCCATCCCTTCTTTTCCCCCGTGATCCCTGTCTCCCTCTCTCCCTCCCCTTTTCTCTCTGCTGAAAAATGTTCCTGTAGCTTCACTGATGCAGGGCAAACCCCCAGCTGCCATAAAACTATTTGGCAGTTTAACAACAATATTTCAAAAGTCCTGAAAATCCACTGGGCATGGGGCACATGCCTTTAATCCTAGCACGAAGGAGATAGAAGCAAACAGATTTCTTTGAGTTCAAGGCCAGCCTGGTCTTCACAGTGAGTTCCAGGCCAGTGGAACTACATAGTGAGACCCTGTCTCCAAAAAGAGTTCTGAAAATCCTACCCCTTAGACAGACTCCCTCATCTAGAACCTACCGTCTTCTTTATGACTTTTTTCTTCTTCTTTTTTTTTTCAAAAAGAGGTGAGTCTTTTTGCTCCCTGTAGCCCCAGCTGTCCTAGAACTCACTATGTAGACCAGGCTGGCCTTGAATTATTTTTAATGTTTCAAACTTAGAAGTAAAATTAAGATTGGGAATGTGACTCAGTTAGTAAAGTGTTTCCCTAGCACACACAAAGCCATAGGTTCCATCCCAGCACCCCATAAACTGGGTGTGGTGGTACATGCCTGTAAACCCCGCTCTCTGGAGGTGGAGACAGAAGGATCAGGAGTCGAAGGTCATCCTCAGCTGCATATCAAGTTTGAGGCCACTCTGGCCTGTTTGAGACCCTGTCTCCAAAAATAGAAGTAAAATTTGCTTTCAGAAAAAAAAGCAAAACTGGCACCTCACCGTTATTGTCATTGGGAAACTTTAGATGCTGTCATGTTTAGATTGCTTACAGTGGTTTTGGATGGTTCATACTCCTCCTAGCTTATCAGTCTGTCAGCCAGGATTTGAGTGTTCATAACTCATCTTATTCTACTAATACAATATCATCTGTGTGCACCCGCAGCACCCGCAGGTCCTCCGGTGGGAGTAAAGGTGACTCTGATAGAGGATGACACTGCCCTGGTTTCCTGGAAACCTCCCGATGGCCCAGAGACAGTTGTGACACGCTACACCATCCTGTATGCTTCAAGGAAGGCCTGGATTGCAGGCGAGTGGCAAGTCCTGCATCGAGAGGGTGAGTATGAGCTTGGATGGCAAAAGAAGATGTGCAGTAAAGTTATCAGTGGTGCATGGAGACCAAGGGAAGGACTGATGAGGAGTTCACATTGAATTTACAACCTTATACAGGAAATAACGAATTATTGAAGATTGTGGTTTTGTTCAAAGAACATCGGCAAGCCATCTACCAATTTTTCAGTTACTTTTAAAGGTTTATTTTAATTATGTGTCTATGAATGTGGGTGCTTGCAGAGATCAGAGGTGTCAGATCCCTTGGAGTTAGACTTACAGGTGGTTGAGAGCTGCCCGACATGGGTGCTAGGCACTAAATTTGGGTCCTCTGCAAGAGCATCAAGTGCTCTTAACTCACTGAGCCATCTCTCTAGCCCCAATTTTTTACCCTTTATTGTTCATTGTATGTGTATGAGTATGGGCATGTATGTGCTGCAGTGCACATATGGGGGTCAGAGGACAACTCTCAGGAACTGATTCTCACCTTCCACCTTGTTGAGGAGGGCCTCTTGTTATTTCTGCCACTGTGCTGAATACTCTAGGCTACTGACCCACAAGCTTCCAGGCAATTCTATGTCTGCCTCCCATCAACCTGTAGGAGTGCTAGAGTTACAGATGTACCCTACTGCATCTGGCTTTTTGTGTAGATTCCAGGGATCAAACTCATATCAACAGGCTTGCACAGTAAGCACCATTATCCACTGAGCCATTTTGCTAAACCCAATATATTTTTTAAGATTCTATTTTTGGTTGTTAGCCTTTAACAGCTGCACTATTCCTTCCAGCCCAAGATTCTGTTTGAGTGTGGATTTGTTCTCATGAGTGCAGGTATCAGAGCCCCTGGAGCTAGAGTTACAGGTGGTTGTGACCCACCTGTTTTAGGTGCTGGGAACTGAACCTAGGTCCTCTGGAAGGGTAGCCAGTGTTCTTAACCACTCAGCCATCTCTCCAGTCCCCAAACTCCCACCCCAATACTTTTTATTTTTTATTTTTATTTTATGTGTATGTGTGTATTGTCTGCATGTAGGTAAGTGCACCCGTGTCGTGTAATGCCTGTGGAGGTCAGAAGAGGCTGTCGGATCTCCTAGGATTGGAGTTACGGGCAGTTGTTAGCTACCATGTGGGTACTGGGATTTGAACCGGGGTCTTCTGCAAGAACAACCAGTGTTCTTAACCACTGAACCATCCCTCCAGCCCCCCCCCCCCCAATACTTTTTAAATACAGGAGAAACACAAAAGTTAAGAATACTATTTTTTTTTAAAGTTTTATGTGTATGAGTTTTTTGCTTGGGTAAAGATACCACATGTGTGCAGTGCCACACAGGACAGAATAGGGTGTTGGATTCCTCTAGAATTGGAGCTACAGTTGTTAGCCTCTATATGGGTACTGGGAATTGAACATGGGTCCTCTGCAAGAGCAGCTAGTGCACTTAAGCACTGAACCAGCTCTCTAGTACCAATTTTTAATATTCTTACTGCATAGTTTTATTATTGCCTGTGAGGCCACCCTGGTCTACATAGCAAGTTCCAGGCCAGCTGGAGCTATAGGGAGATGCTGTCTCAAAGAAAAAAGAACAAAAAACAAAAAAAACAAGCAAGCAAATAAATGCTTAGGTCTTCCATTTGGACAAGTTCCATCTGTCCATGTTTAGATGGGCCATCTAAAATGTTATTTTAGCATGTCCTTAGTCCAGATGGGAAAGGAATTGTTTGCCAAGAAAATTGTAAGTTTAAGGAGCCAGGCATGGTAGTTCACATCTCCCAATACTCATAAGACTGAGACAGAAAAATCCTAAATTTGATGCCAGCCCAGGCCTTTTCAGGAGAAAAACTTAAGGATTGTAAAAACAGAGATTTTAAAAAAAATTATTATTTTTTTTCTTTTTTGGTCTTTTTGAGACAGGGTTTCCCTATAGCCACAGCTGGCCTGGAATTTGCCTTGTAGACCAGGCTGGCCTTGAACTCACAGAGATCTGCCTATCTCTGCCTCCCAAGTGCTCCAAGTGCTGGGATTAAAGTCATGCACCACCATGCTGGCTGGAGATACCTTTTTTTTAAAAAAGATTTTTATTTTTAATTATGTGTATATATGTGTGTGTGTCTGGGTGGGTTTGTGCATGTAAGTGCAGTTGCCCATAGAGACCAGAAGAGGGCATCAGATCCCCTTGCGCTGTATGTGGGTTCTGGGAACAGAACTAAGGTCCTCAGCAAGAGCAGCAAGCACTCTTACTCCTGAGCCATCTTTCCAATTCCCAAAAGGAGATTTCTTTAAAAAAAATAAAGAATACATTTGCATGCCAATTAACTTTTTAAAATATTTTTATTTTATATGTATGTATGAGTGCCTGCATGTATGCATGTGCACCACATGAATGCCTGGTGCCCTTGGAGGTCAGAGGAGGACATTGGATACCCTGAAACTGGAGGTAGTGGTGAGCTGCCCCATGTGGGTGCTGGAAACTGAACCCAGGTCCTCTTTAAAAGCAGCAAGCACTGTTAACTGCTGAGCCAGATTGCCAGCCCCCCAGAAGGAGATTTCTTAAACACTATACAGCACTAAGTGCATCCACATCCATTTTTCTCCCATATTTTCCAAATTAGGAAGGTAAACACCAAGCACATTCATGTGTGTGTGATATAAAGTTCTCTATGCACTTCTAAAATGGTAACTTTACCTGAAGTTTTGATAGTTGTAAATTCATGTTTTCCATTATCACAGACCCCACCCAGTAATAACTGATCACCAAGGAGCCCTGGAAGTACTAAGGCAGCTGTGCGATGCTGTGGTTTGGTCAGCTCTCTTGCTGCCTAATGAGCCACTCTAAAGTTCCAGATAATTGTTGCATTTCTTAATGATTCCCAGAATCCCAGTTTTGATGGGGATTCACTGGAGAGTTCTGTCAGCCCCCCAGGAGGCTGCACCAGCTCAGTTCTCAGAGGGTCTGAGAACCCTAAAAACAGCAGGGAACAGGATTTAGAAACTGGAAGGATAGAGCCCTAGGAACAAGCCTTACAGACCTCTGCCGTTTCACATTTACTGACACTTGTCAGAGTTAATCATGTGGCCAAACCCAGAGCATAGTGGTCAAGGCTGCTCAGAGGTGTGGCTGGGTGGAGGCAGTACTGCTTAGTTCTTAGTGTCATCGCCTGGCCTTTATAGATAATCAGTTGGGGAGGTGCATGTAGAGGTCAGAGGACAAAGTGCAGGAACCAGTGCCCTACTTCCACCATATGGTCTTAGGGATTGAACTCAGATTGTCAGGCTTGGCGCAAGCACCTTTAACCTCCTAAGCTATCCTGCCAGCCTACTACATCGTCTCTCTTTTTAGATTTATTTTTATTTATATGTCCTTGTGTGTACATGCCATATGTGTGCCAGTGCCAGCAGAAGTCAGAAGAGGGTGTCAGATTTCCTGGAACTGGAGTTAGTCAGTTGTGAGCACCCGACATCAGGTGCAAGTGCAGCAAGCACTCTGAACCACTGAGTCATCTCTCCAGCACCCCCCCATATTCTTTTTGTTTGTTTGTTTTTAATTAGGATTTAATGTGAGCTAGGCTTGCCTTGAACTCTTTTTTTGAAAAAAATAACTTACATGAATATAAGGGTACCATGTATGTACAGTTCCTGCAGAGGCCAGAGAAGGCATCGTATTCCCTGGAACTGGAGTTACAAATGGTTGCTAGCCATCATGTGGGTGCTGGGCACCAAACCCAGGTCCTCTGTAAGAGCAGTCAGTGCTCTCAACCACTGAGCAATGTCTCTAGCCCCCCACATGTTCTTAACAAATATAATTCTATTTTAGTTATTCATTTCCAGAATGATTTATGAAACACAAGACTTGACAAAATGACAGATCTGATTTAATGAGGTGAGGTAAATAGTAATAAGGCATTTTGTGAACATATAGCTTTGAGTTCTTTGTTCTTAACTTCCAAAAAAGAAACAATGATTTCCCTGTTTTCAAATTCACTTATTCATGAGTTTGGGGAAGAACCCAGAAACCAACATTTTGCCTCATTTCTGGCTCAATAGAAATGTGGCTGGTAATTGCAGGGTTTTTGTGTATGCAGTCCTTTCTCACTATACAGTGGTACACAGAAAAATCACCTGTGTATGGCTGGGTGAGATTTTGAGAAACACTCATGAAAAGCTTTTGCTGTTAAATGTAGAGGGTTTTTTTTCCCATACTTAATGCCATGATTCAAAGAGAGCAAGTAAACAGCACAAGAAAAAGCAACTGAGTTCTTCTTTTGAAAGACAAAAAACATAAAGGGGTCAGTCAACTTGTCTATGTTTACTCAGAAAGCAAGGAATATAGGCTAACACTTAAAGAAGAAATTAAAATAGAGGACTGTCTTTTATATCTGAACATGACAATTTTGAAAAAGTAGCAGTGTGGGAAAAGATGGAGAAAAAAATTTCTTTATATAATCTTTAATACATGTGAAATTATATTTATATACACATTTAATGCCAAATATGTTTGCTTTTCAAGAATCAAACCATTTTCAGAATATTTCTGCTGGCTCAGCAGGTAAAGGCACTTGCTGCCAAGCCTGACGACTCTGAGTTTGATCCCTGGAACCAACTCCTGAACCTTGACCTCTGACCCCACCCCCTCCCCACAGACACACCTTGGCATGTAATGTACATGCATGCAGACACAAAATAAATAAATGAAACTGATGTGACTCATTTGGTACAGTACTTGCCTTCCATGCATAAATCCCTAGCTTCTATCCTCAGCACCAGATAAAACTATGCGTGGTGGCACATGCCTGAAATGCCAGCACTTGGGAGCTAGAGGCAGAAGGATTAGGAGTTCAAGGTCACCCTTCCTACATAGTTAAGTTTGGGGCCATCCTAGGCTACATGAGACCCTGTGTTAAAATACATAATTTTTTAATTAAATGAAAAGACTTTGCTTCTAGTAGTGATAAGTTTTTGCCAAGCATTTTGAAAAATGGAGTGTATCTAATGACAAACTGGAAGCTTTATGTTCATCTCTACTTGAGAAGAAATTGGAACGGTTTTCTAGCTAATTTTAACCTTTCGTGCTGTGTCCTTGTTTTGGAGGCCTCTGCCGAAAGTGGTGACAGCAGGAAGATTCTTCCTGGTTCTAAACAGGGCTTGGTTTGTTTATTTAGCAGTTGGATACTCAAGTAACTCACACTCTCTTCAGGCCAAGTTGAAACCAAAGAACATGAAAACAAGTCCCGTTGGGCTGCTGGCTTGGACACCTCACTTCATGTGACCCATGGAGGTGGCCTTTGTATCAGGACCAGCTGTAGGATCCCCCACACTTCACTTGCATAATGAAGTACACTGGACCATGAAGAAGCCAGTCCTGACCTGGCAGGTGGCTCTTGTGAGCCTTCTGTAGCTCTTGTAGGGATGGTCTTCGTGTGGAAAAGGGAGACAGAACACTCCCTCCCATACCCAGACAGCTAGGTGTCCCTGTGAGGGGCCACCCATGTAATGTTGGGTCAGCTCGTGCTTGACTTTTTCAAAGGGGAACACTTCAAATATGATGGCAGAACAGCAGAAACACCCTTCAAGTGATGAAGAGGTGACTTCAGAGTTAACCTGGGGCCATTGTGATGGCTCAGCAGGTAAAGGTATGTTTGCCACCAAACTTGAAGACCTGAGTTCCATCCCTGAAACCTATATCACATGGTAGAAGGAGAGAACTGACTCCTGTAAGTTGTCCTCTGATCTCTACATGCATGACCACATGCATAAACCAGACACACAAAATAAATGTAATAGAAAAATAGTAAAAAATAAATAAATAAATAAATAAATAAATAAATAAATAAAAAATAGCCGGGCATGTTGGCACACACCTTTAATCCCAGCACTCTGGAGGCAGAGGCAGGTGGATCTTTCTAAGTTTGAGGCCAGTCTGGTCTACATAGTGAGTTCCAGGACAGCTGGGGCTACAAGGAGACCCTGTCTCAAAAAGACAAAAAATAATAAAAAAATAAAATAAAAAGTTAACTTGTGAGCTGGTCTTTGCACTCTGAAGTTTCTGTGGAACTTCATATTTTCTTTCCTGAGAGAAACTTATAAATAACTTCCCCCTCAAAGATATATTCAACTTTGAAAAATATTTGTGTCCTCATTTAAGAAAAACAAGAAGGGGCTGGAGAGCTGGCTCAGTGGTTAAGAGCACTGACTGCTCTTACAGACTACCTGGGCTTGGTTCCCAGCACCCGCACGGTGGATAACAACCATCAGTAACTTAACTCCATTTCCCAGGGGATCCGACTCCCTCTTCTGACCTCCATGGGTATGGCACATATAGGTGCACTTACATGAGGCAAAACACTCATACACATAAAATAAAAACAAATCTTTGAAAAAAATTACCTAATACAACTATTACCTTAAGTAGTTTAAACATTTCTTGTGGGTCTCTCCCCCAACCTTGTGGGCCATTGGCCACTGACCCATGAGAACAAAGGGAACAGAAGCGACGAACGGGGTCAGGACGGTCAGTGAGCACGATGGAAAAGACCTTTGGGGAGTCAGATTCAGTGATACAGTTCTGTTTATTCAGTGGGGGTCAGGGAAAAATATAGTGTGGAGGCAGCAGCCAAAGCTTCAGCTGATAGGTGCTCATAGTATGTTTACTTACATGTGGTAGGGGGATCCCATCATCTGGCTATAGGGCACTGCCTAATTGTCATATAGAAAAAACCTGGGGGCAGTTTTATTGCGGGTAACTGTGCCCAAGTTCATGTTCCAAATAAGGTCAAGCATCTGTGCTTGGAGGCACTTTCCAGATAAGTCAGGCAGAGAACAGGAGGCCCCCATTGAGAAAGGAGTCCTTCCATATAGTGCTGAGCTCCTTAGAGCTATCTGGACATGGTGGACTGCAACCTTAGCAGCAGAGTCCCCCAACTTCTAATTAAGGGGAGAAAGTAGTCTAACATTAGTTTTTTATAATCTAATTGTTGATCTGGGTTCATTATGTGTGCTGTTCTTTGTGTATGTATACTTGAAATGTTTCATAAATAATTGTTTTTAATGTCATTTGTATATAGAGTAAAACATTATATAGACATAAATAATATAAATAAAAAATGATATAAACCTATATACATTTTTAAAAATATTTTATTATTTTTATTTTATGTGTGTGTATGTATTGCCTGCATGTGGGTAAGTGCACCCATGTCGTGCAGTGCCCACAGAAGACAGAAAATTGGATATGCTGGGACTGGAGTTACGGACAATTGTTAGCTGCCATGTGGGTGCTGGGATTTGAACCCATGTCTTCTGCAAGAACAGTCAGTGTTATCCACTGAGCCATTTCTCCAGCCCCAAACCTACATACATTTTAAAGAGATGTATCCATCCAAACAAAAATGTGTGCTACTCTTAAGAACTCTACACAAGGGGCTGAAAAGTGACTCAGTTGAAGCTTGCTGCTCTTACAGAGGGCCTGAGTGTGGTTCCCAGTACCCCTGTCAGGCATTTCACACCTGCTGATAATTCCAACTCCAGGGGATCTGATGCTCTCTTGTAGATTCTTTGGGCACCACACACACACACACACATACACACACACACACACACACACACTCACACACACAAATAAAATAAATATTTCAAAAAATAACCCCTAAAATAAAATTACAGTGGTTTTTATGGGAGAAGTGTGCATAGCACAATGTTAAGTGAAAACAGAAAATATGAAAATGTATGCAGCAATTATGTGTTCAGGGCTGGGAATGTAGCCCAGTAGTAGATTGTTTCCTTGGCATCCACAAGGCCTTGGGTTCAATCCCAGCACCATATCACACCCCCCCAAAAAAATAACCCCTAAAATAAAATTACAGTGGTTTTTATGGGAGAAGTGTGCATAGCACAATGTTAAGTGAAAACAGAAAATATGAAAATGTATGCAGCAATTATGTGTTCAGGGCTGGGAATGTAGCCCAGTAGTAGATTGTTTCCTTGGCATCCACAAGGCCTTGGGTTCAATCCCAGCACCATATCACACCCCCCCAAAAAAAACCACTTTTTTGAAAGACAAAAGAAATGGTATTTATATGTTTGTCTATACAAGCAAATACATTAAAATGTTAACAATGGGGGGCTGGAGAGTTGGCTCAGCATTTATGAACACTGGTTGCTCTTGCAGAAGACTGTGGTTCGAATCCCAGCACCCACATGGCAGCTAACAACTGTCCGTAACTCCAGTCCCAGGGGATCCGACAGCCTCTTCTGCACAACACAGGTGCACTTACCTACATGCAGGCAATACATGCATACATGTATAATAAAAATAATAAATAAAAATTTTAAAAATGTTAATAATGGGAAATTATTGCTGTATTTATATTTATCTTTTTCCAAATGGCCTACAATGAAAATGATCACTGTCATCAAGAAAATATTCTTATATTAAATTTTGTTATTTTTAATTCTATGTGTATAAGTAAGTGTGTGGGTATGTCCACATGAGTGCAGGTGCCCAAGGAGACCAAATGTGTCCGATTCCTGGAACAGGAGTTACAGGCAGTTGTAAACTGATATGTTGTTGTTGGGAACTGAACCTGGATTCTCTCCAAGAGCAGCAAGTGCTCTTAACCACTGAGCAATCTCTCTAGCCCTGGAAAAAAATTTTTTTAAAGATTTATTTGTGTTTGTGTGTGTGTGTGTGTGTGTGTGTGTGTGTCTGTCTGTCTGTCTGTCTAGACCAGAAGAGGGTGCCAGATCAGACTGTGAGCCATCATCAATGCTGGGAACCAAACCCAGGTCCTCCAGAAGAGGGTACCAGATCAGACTGTGAGCCATCATCAATGCTGGGAACCAAACCCAGGTCCTCTGCAAGAGCAGGGAGTGCTCTTAATCACTAAGCCATCTCCAATCTCCAGGAAAATGTTTTGTTTTGAGACAGGGTTTACCTGTAACCCCAGCTAGCTTGGAGCTTGCTGTGTAAACCAGCGGACTTTGATCTTACAGAAATCCACCTGCCTCTGCCTCTGGAGTACTGGGATTAAAGGCATGTGCTACCATGCCCAGCCCCAAGGAAAAAAAATTGGGGGAATCTTTTTGAGAGAGGGTCTCCCTGTAACCTCAGCTGTCCTGGAACCCAACATGTAGCAGGCTGGCCTCAATCTCACAGAGATTCTCCTGCCTCTGCTTCTCAAGTGCTGGGATTAAATGAGTGTACCACTACACCGTGTCCCAGGAAAATATTTTTAAATGAACATTTATCATTAGAAAAAATGTTTTTATTGAAGGCCCATGTTTATATAGTTGTAAATGTTCACTTAATTTGTAATGTTTCTAGGGGCAATAACGATGGCTCTGCTAGAAAACCTTGTGGCAGGAAACGTGTACATTGTCAAGATATCTGCATCCAATGAGGTGGGAGAAGGACCATTTTCAAATTCTGTGGAGCTGGCCGTTCTTCCCAAGGAAACTTCACAATCAAACCAGAGGCCCAAGCGTTTGGATTCTGATGCCAAAGGTCTGTATACTGCCACAGTCACTGTGATTTTTTTTTTTTAAGATTTATTTGTTTCGTTTTGTTTGGTTTGGTCTTTTTGAGACAGGGTCTCTCTGTAGCGCCAGCTGACCTGGAACTTGCTATGTAGACCAGGCTGGCCTTGAACTCACAGAGATTCACTTGCCTCTGCCTCTCAAGTGCTCAGATTAAAGAGGTGTACCACCATACCCAGCTAAGATTTATTTTTATTTTATGTGTACAAGTGGGTTTGCCTGCATGTATGTACGTAAACCACATGCATGAAGTATCTACAAAGACCAGAAGAGGGAGTCAGGTATTCTGGAACTGGAGTTACAGATGGTTATTAACTGCCATGTAGGTGCTGGGAACTGAACCTAAGTCCTCTACAAGAGCAGCCAGTACTCTTAATTACTGAGCCATGATTTTTTTTATTAAGGGAAAAAATGGGTTTTTAGCTGCCTTATACTTTATTTCAGCTTCCACAATTGCCATACCCCTAAATCCACACTGGCCCAGATGAGCAGCACTCTGGTGGGAGTATACATCCTGGGAGGTTCCATGGAAATAGAAAGCAGAAGTGATTATCGGGAGGAAGAACCTGCTTTTCATTAGGAGTGTTCACAGAAAAACAACTCTGCCAGACAGAGGGTTTTTTATCTCCAGAAAATCAATTGGGAAAAAAATGCAGTTAAGCAGTCACCCTCCGTCAGTGTCCACCTGCTCCAAAGGAAGCCAGTGCTCCCTGGTGTCCAGAACTAGACACCTCACTTTCCTCTTCTGAGAAGTAGAGGGCAGATTTAAATGGAAGCGCTTCCAGCTAAACTGAGATTAAGGACTCAGCACCATAGAGCAGTCCTTCAGTGCTGTGGTATGTGGAAGAGGACAGGAGAAGAGCAGGCAGTCAGACTTAAGAATGGGAAGGAGAAGCCACTTCATCATCCAGAAAGAGGAAAATAGGCTCTTGTTTGCTTGTCAAACTTTGCTCAGAGCAATTTACAGATCAGCATCGGTGGGTCCCCTCCTGAGAGCTTCAGTCTGCAGTCAGGGACCTCAACTCAGCTTTAGTAAATGGGAACCTGCATTTTATTTTATTTATTTTGATTTTTTAGTATATTTTATTTATTACTTTTATTTTATGTGTATGAGTGTTGTACCTCCATGTATGTAAGTGCACCTGTGTCATGCTGCCTGTAGAGGACATGGGATTCCCCTGGAACTGGAGTTGATGGTTGTTAGTCGCCATGTGGGTTCTGGGAATCGTACCTGGGTCCTCTGCAAGAGCAGCCAGTGCCCTTACCTGCTGAGCCATCTCTCCAGCTCCAGGAATCTGCATTTTAACACACCCCCAGTGACTCACACACGTTAAACCTTGAGAGGCACTGCTGTAATGTTATGTACACGGAAAACCAATGGTCCATGTACTAATTGGCTTTTAAGGAAGTATGTAGTGGAAGTTGTTCTTTGGCCCATCCAAGAACATACAGGCTTTGTGCCTTTCAGGATTATAAATCAGAGACTGGGCTGGAGAGCTGGCTCAGTTAAGAGTTGAGAGTGCTTGCTGTTCTTAGAGAGGACCAAAGTTGAGTTCCCAGCACTGTACCCACATGGGAGCATCTCACAATTGCCTGTAACTACAGCTTCCCAGGATTTGGCACCCTCTTCTGATCTCTGAGGACACTACACACACATATATAGATAAACGAAAGTAAAAAACATTTTTGTTTTTAAAATAAGGGGCTAGAGAGATGGCTCAGTGGTTAAGAACACTGACTGCTCTTACAGAGGACCCTGGTTCAATTCCTAGCACCCACATGACAGTTAACAACTGTCTGTAACTCCAGTTCCAGGGAAATTCAATACCTTCTTCTGACCTCCCTGGGCTTTGCACAACACGGGTGCACTTATACACATGCAGTCAATACACTGATACACATAAAATAAAAATAAATAAAAAATAAATAAGCCGGGTATGGTGGCGCATGCCCTTAATCCCAGCACTTGGAAGGCAGAGGCAGATGGATTTTTGTGAGTTCGAGGCCAACCCAGTCTACATAGTGAGTTCCAGGACAGCTGGGGCTGCAAGGAGACCCTGTCTCAAAAAGACAATTAATTAATTAATTAATTAAATCAATCAATAAACAAACAAACAAGGGGCTGGAGAGATGGCTCAGCATTTAAGAGAACTGGCTACTCTTATAGAAGACCCAGGTTTGATTCCCCAGTACTTACACCAGGCAGCTCACAACTCCCTGTAACTTCATTTCCAGGGGATCTGTCACCCTCTTCTGGCCCCCATGGGCACTGCATACACATGGTGCATAAACAAGCACACACACACACACACACACACACACACACACACACACACATATAAATAAAAATAAAGAGGGGGGTCTAGAGAGATGACTCAGAGGTTAAGAGCACTGGCTGTTCTTGCAGAGAATCCAGGATCAGTTCCCAGCACCAACATGGTTGCTAATAACCATCTATAACTCCAGTTCCAAGAGATCTAGCACCCTCATCTGGCCTCTGCAGTCAGGGCATGTATGTGGTGCCCTTATATAAATCCAGGCAAAACATTCATACACATAAAACAAAAATTTTAAAAAATTTTAAGAATAACTAAATATGGGCTGGAGAGATGGCTCAGTGGTTAAGAGCACTGGCTGCTGTTACAAAGGACCCGGGTTTGATTCTTAGCACCCACATGGTGGCTGACAACCATCTGTAACCCCAGTTTCAGGGGAATCCTACACTCTCTTCTGACCTCTGAGGGCATTGCACAATACGGGCATACTTACACATATGCAGGCAATACACTCACTCACTCATACACATAAAATATATATATAAATAAATAAATAAATAAGGTCACACATGTCTTTAATACTAGTACTTGGGAGGCAGAGGCAGGCAGATCTTTGTGAATTCAAGGCCAACCTGGTCTACATAAAGAGTTCTAGGCCGGCCAAGGCTTCACAGTGATACCCTGTTTCAAAAACCCAAAAGAATAAAAATTAAATTAATTGACAATAAATTATAGATTGATATTCATTGTTTGATATGTCTGTGCCATCTAAACATGATCTCATAATCTTCAATATTGGAAGATGAAAAGATCTTAGAAATCACTGGCAAACTTAATTCATGACTTTTCTGTTTAGAGTGTCAAAACTTTTCCTACAAGAGGAAGAAAAATTATAGACGAGCAAATATCTGTCTGAGAATTGTAACACCTGGTATGTTTTTATTTTATTTCTGAGTACATGTACCTCTTCCCTCTAGTTCATTCAGGCTATTACCATCTGGACCAAAAGTCAATGACAGGCATCGCTGTGGGAGTTGGCATAGCCTTGACCTGCATCCTCATCTGCGTCCTCATCTTGATATACCGAAGCAAAGCCAGGTGCGTTTCCTTTGCTAGAGATGCTGACTTGGGTCCTGGGAGACGACTTAGCAGGTAAAGTGCTTGTTGTACAAGTGTGAGACTGTAGTCCCTAGAGCCCACATAAGTGCCAGATAGGATGCTGGATGACTTGGCATCCCACCTGTAATCCAAACATGCAGGAGGCAGAGACGGAATCCAGCCAGCCACTGCAGCTGAAGTGGCCAGCTCGGGGTTCAGTGGAGAGACCCTACCTCGGTAATCAAGGAAGACACCCAATGTCAAACCTTGGGCCTCTACATGCACACTCACATCCACACATGCATGTAAACATACAACACACATGAGTGTTGCTGAGATGATTAAAAACATTTAAATTACACCAACTATAGGAAACATAAAAATCAAGTGCATTTTAGAATAACTAAGTTTTTTTTCTCTCTTCAAAATAAATGTGCTGAGATTTTACAGCTAGAAATGGACTCATATTCTACAGAGATTATTTTCCTGCCATTTGAAAAAATTACCATGCCAATAAAAGACCCTAAATGAGGAACTAGTTTCCTCACTTATGAAATTGGCTTTTGCTTTTGTTTTAATGGCAATGTGATCCAGTGCATCTACTTTCTAAGAGGATTGCTGACTATCCCCACTTGTTCATGTCTAAGTCGCAATACCAGAAATGTCTCAGTCACCGAGACAGCAAGAACAAGTGACTGAGAGTTTGCAGACAGAACTAAAACTCATGAAATGATCAGAGACATGCTGTCCAGCAACATTCAGGCAGATCCAAGGCCCTACCACAGTGCACAGAGTTAAAGAGCTAATATTCAGTTTCTGAAGATAGTTGAGAAGTGGGCATTGCTAAGGGGCTGGAGAGATGGCTCAACAGTTAATAGTACTTGCTGCTCTTCCAGAAAAACCTGAGCTCAGGTCCCAGCATCTACATCAGATGGCTTACAACTGTCTATAACTCCTTCTCCAGGGGATCCAATGCCCACTTCTGAACTCCATGGGTACCTGCAGACACTCACACAGACATACATGTACACATAAATAAAACTAAATCTTATTATAGGGACCATATGTGGTCATATGCTTTTGATCCCACCACTGCAGAGGCAGGTGGATCTCTGTGAGTTCCAGACCATCCTGGCCTATATATCAAGTTCCAGGCCAGCCGGGGATACATAGTGAAACCCTGCCTCATAAAGAAAATATTTTTTAACTCAGTTGGTAGAGTGCTTGCCTAACATGCACCAAGCCCTGGGTTCAGTTCCCAACACTGGGTAAAATGGAGCATGGTGGCTCATACCTGTAATCCCAGCATTCAGGAAGTAGAAGGAGGAGGATCCAAAGCTCAAGGTCCTTCTCATCTACATGGTGAATTTGAGGCCAGTCTGGGATACATGAGGCCCTGCTCAGAAAAACAAACTTGTGCTTATATGCCCAATTGGGTACATTTTCCTGTATCTTCTATGAAATTACAAGGCTCTGTTTTCTTACCAATATTTCAGGAAATCCTCTGCATCCAAGACAGCACAGAATGGAGCCCAGCCAGGAACTCGAGCCGGCAGGGCCATGGTAATAGGGGGAAGCGACACAGGGAAGAATCTGGAAAGATCTGCAAGCCATGAAGAGTCCTCAGTGCCAATGATGCCCAATAGCTTCATCGATGCAAAGGTACCTGGCCGAGACTCATTTGCTATACACGGCTTTTCCCTGTTCACCTTCTTCTATGTGTGAAATGAGCTAACCAAGAGTATGTGTTGAATATGTTGTGTGCATACTTCTCTTAATGAAATACATATAAAAAATGCAGCCAGGCGTGGTGGCGCATGCCTTTAATCCCAGCAAGTGGATCTCTAAGTTTCATGCCAGCCTGGTCTACATAGGAAGTTCCAGGTCAGCCAGGGCTACATAGTGAGACCCTGTCTCAAAAAACAGAAACACTCAGGAAGCAGAGGCAGGTGGATCTCTGTGAGATGGAGGCCAGCCTGGTCTACATAATGAGTGCCAGGACAGGTGAGACTACAGGGAGACCCTATCTCAAAAAGACAAAACAAACAGAAAATAATGATAAAGATCTGAATAAACACCTGAAGATCCAAGAAAATAGAATATTGCACAGAAATGTTATCAGGAGTGTAACCTCTTATCTTTGCCAAGCTGTGGTAGTTGTTCTGCATTGGTGAGTGGTATGGAAACCAGCTTGAATTGCTCTCTGCTACATCACACACACTTTTACAGTAGCTCCAATAACCAGTGTGCCAGCTATCCAGTGTCAGTAACGGTGGGCTGCCCAGGCCCACCCATAGCCTGATTGTGTGTGGCTACTGCCTCAGCAAAGCATATTTTTTAGATTGTTAAAAAGTTCTTAGCAGACCCAGGCATGGTGGCACATGCCTTTAATCCCGGCACTCGGGAGGGAGGCAGAGGCAGGCTGAGCTTTGTGAGATCCAGGCCAGCCTGGTCTACATAGTGAGTTCCAGGCTGGCTGGGGCTACAGGGAGACCCTGTCTCAAAAAGACAAAAATAAATAAATAAATAAATAAATAAAGTTCCTAGTAAAGAAGAAAATGTAGCCTGCCATCCATCAGTGTCCTATTAAAGTCAAACTATTTACTATCTGACCCTGCACAGAAGAGGTTTGCAGGGGCTAGAGAGATGGCTCAGAGGTTAAGAGTACTGGCTAATCTTCCAGAGGACCTGAGTTCAATTCCCAGCACCCATATGGCAGCTTACAACCTCCAGTAACTCCGGCTCCAGGGGATCAGAAGCCTTCTTCTAGCCTTTGCAGGCATTGTATATGTGTACACACAGAGAGACCAATAAGTAAAAAGTAAAATAAAAATGTTTTTAAAGTACTTATTTTTATTTTATATGTGCAAAAAACAGAATAAAAATCAATTTAAAAGATTAAAAATCCAGGTATAGGGGCTGGAGAGATGGCTCAGCAGTTAACAACACTGGCTGTTCTTACAGAAGACCCGGGTTCGAATCCCAGCACCCACATGGCAGCTAACAACTGTCTGTAACTCCAGTTCCAGGGGATCCAACAGACTCTTCTGTCCTCTGCGGGCATTGTATGACACAGGTGCACTTACCTACATGCAGGCAATACATGCATATACATAAAAAATAAAAATAATAAATGAATTTTTTTTGTCTTTTTGAGACAGGGTCTCCCTGCAGCCCCAGCTCTCCTGGAACTCACTATGTAGACCAGGCTGGCCTCGAACTCACAAAGAGCCACCTGCCTCTGCCTCCTAAGTGCTGGGATTAAAGGCGTGCGGCCGGCATAAAATATTTTTAAAAAGCCAGGTGTGATGGTGCATGCCTGGTCTGCATAGAATTCCTGGTGAACCAGGGTCACACCATGAGACCCTGTTTCAGTAAATAACTACCTAAATAAATAAATAAATAAATAAATAAATAAATAAAGCAATAAAGCATTTTTTTCTTCAAGACATGCAGCCCAGGTTAGCCTCAAACTCACTCTGTAGCTAAGGATGGATGGCATTGAACTTCTGAACCCCTGCCTCTATCTCTCAGGCAGTGAAGTGACAGGCAGGCACCTCCACACCCAGTTCATATGGTACTAGAGAGCCAACCAGGGCTTCAATGCATGCTAATCAAGCACTCTACTGCTGGGCCTTGTCCCCAGCTGAGGAGTCTATAGAGTCTTAAAATATTGGTAAATAATGTGGTTCTGTTATTGCTACTTTGGTAATAGATATAAGAAAGCCAGGGGAGAAACAGTGAAGAAGAAGATGAGGGGGGAAAGAGGCAGAGTCGAAAGTCACTACAGAAAGCAGTGAGACCCGAAGTAAGGAGAGTAAGCTTGAAGAACTTGCTCAGCCTCCTGGGTTCAACTCTGAATTGATACCTCACTTTTGGAAATTTTGTTGTATGTATGTGGGTCCATGACATTTTTTTTCTCCCAAATGCTCTTAAAATATTTCAGTCATGCACCTGTGAGATTGCTCAGTGGTTAAAGGCACTTGCCACCAAGACTAACAACCTGTGTTCTATCCTCCGGACCCACATGATGGAAGGAGAGAACCTACCCCCTCAAGTTGTCCTCTGACCTCCACTCTCATGCTATGGCACACACACACACACACACACACACACACACACACACACAAATAAAAGGATTAAAAAATAAAATTTCAACCATGCAAAAAAAAGGCTAAAAGGATAATACACAAAAACACAAATAATTATCTTGTCATAACTCTTGCTCGTTATAACATTAGAAAAGTTTGTAATCATATCATTGCAGTCTATCCCATGCTCTATTCAGCATACTCATAGTTTTTATTAACAATAAAAAAATTTTATATAAGCATTTTATATATTATGTATGTATATATGTGTGTGTGTATATATATATAGAGAGAGAGAGAGAGAGAGACAGAGACAGAGACAGAGACAGAGAAAGAGAGAGTATAGAATAAACTAAGTGTGGTGGTACATTCCTATAATCTCTAGTACTCAGGAGGCTGAGGAAGGAGATTTACAAGATCCAGGTCAGTGTAGGCTACATAATGAAACCCAATAGGGTCTGGAGAGATGACTCAGTGGTTAAGAGCACTGGCTACTCTAGGAGAGGACCCGGGTTCAGATCCCAACAGCCTCATTGTGACTAACAACTGTCCTTAACGCCAGTTCCAGGGGAATCTGATGCCCTCTCTGGCCTCTTTGGGCATTGCATACATGGTATACACATACATGCAGACAAAACACTTATATATAAAATAAATAAATAAAAGGATAAACCTGATATCCCCTTTTAATCACTAACAGATATCCTGAATAGGTTATCTGCCTGTGTAAAATAAGAAGCAAGGATGTCTGTGACCATTGTTTGCTTTAGACACTTAACATCTTTGTTTACTGCTTATGGTAAACTAAAGTCTCTAATACAAAGATATTTACATTTTTCTCCTTTTATTTCCCCAGGGAGGAACTGACCTGATAATTAATAGCTATGGTCCCATTATTAAAAACAACGCTAAGAAAAAATGGCTCTTTTTCCAAGACACTAAGAAGATAAAAATTGAGCAGGTAACCCACCCTTGTGAGGAAAATCCTTGGCAATCCATGGTTTGTGACGTGCACATTGGAAAGAAAGGAAAATGTAAATGAATGATTTCTTTTCTTTATGGATCTGATTTGGTTCTGACTATGGAGCACTGTGGTGAGTGGCAGTCAAGAGCACAGTTGGGAGAAAATCAGAAGTCTGGATTCCCCTGGGGTCTAGGGCAGCAAGAAAAGAGAGGGACATCCTGAGCGTGGTGGCCCACACCTTTAATTTCAGCACTCAGGAGGCAGAAGCAGGCAGATCTCTGAGATTGAGGCCAGCCTGGTCTACATAGGGAGTTCCAGGCCAGCCAGAGTTACATAGAGAAACCCTGCCTTAAAAAAGAAGGATGAAAGGGGAGAGGGAGGAGGAGGAGGAAAGAGAGGCACAGGAGAGGCTTACGTCAAAATCACCAAAGTACTTTTTAAAATGTTTATTTTTTTTAAGATTTTGTTTTTAATTATGTATTTATGTGTCTGTGTGTAGAGGCCAGAAGAGGGCATTGAATCTCCTAGAGCTGGAGCTACAGATGGTTGTGAGCCTCCTGACATGGATGCTGGGAACCAAACTGGGGTTCTCTGCAATAGCAGCGCATATTGTTAACCACTGTGCCATCATCTTTCCACCCCACCCACCCCCTTGAAGTTTTTAGCATCTCACTTGCTGCAGTAATTCTGTGATGCTCCCAGCCCTATGGGGAACCATTGACATAAACAGTCCGTTCCTAATGGTGGTCTCTAGTCTGAGCACTCCAACTATAATGTAATCTCACTGCTCCTTCTTCTGTTTTTGCCTAGCCTCCAAGAAGATTTACCCAGGCTGTATGCTTTTACCAGCCAGGCACCACCGTGCTGATCAGCGATGAAGACTCCCCCGGCTCCCCGGGCCAGACTACCAGCTACCCAAGACCCTTTGGGGCTGGCCTGGACACTGAGCACTCAGCTAACAGCGAAGGCAGTCACGAGACGGGGGATTCTGGTCGGTTCTCCCATGAGTCCAATGATGAGATACACCTGTCCTCGGTCATCAGCATCACACCACCCACCTCTCATTCCCTGGCCCACAGTGATCCTGCTGGGGATGCTGCACTGATGGTGTGTGGAGACCCTGCAGAGCCCTTGACGGTTGCGCAGACTTCCTCCCCAGCCCCACAGCCACCGTCTGCCCAGCCCAGTTTTGATGTGGGCAAGTTTCCCATATAGGTGGCCATGCTCAGATAGTCTCAGCAAGTCTGTTTAAAGGACAATGAACAGGGAGCCAAAGCCTTTTGTGAAAATACTGATGTCTTACTGAGTTTTTCTCCTTTTTTTGAATGTTTTTGTTATTATTATTTTTGAAACTCACGAATTTTGAATGTTTTGTTGTCAACAATGTGAAAGGACAGTCAAGATGTTTGACTAGTTTATGTCACTGGAGCAGAGGGAAGACGGAGCCCTTTGCTGGATAGCTACCTCAGTTTGCGGGATGGCGGACTCTGAAGAGACTGTCGCCTCCTTCTTGCATAGTTGACCTCAGCTACATAGCCAACATACTTCCTAGTAGCATTCTGTGTTCGTTGCTGTTGTGTGTCATGTGTGTGATTGAAGGAGTCGTATTGGTAGATGAGAAAGACTGTTTATCTAAGGCTCTGATTTTTTTTTTTCTTTAAGGAACTATGATGCCTTCATGGCTTGGATAATTTTAACCCCTCTAACTTTGAGGAGAAAATATGGAGCTAGACTTATTCTAATGAATGAAACAAATGTTTGTTTTTATAGGAGAGAACCGTTCCATTGCATGTATGGAACAGTATTGCTTGGAAGGCTGTTGGTTTTGAGCTTCGTTCCATCCCACACCTCAGCCTGCCTCAGCTGTGCCTTTGCCCATCTTTCCCTTTGCCTCACAGTCAGCCAAAGGCTGCACTGTCTCTTTTGCAAAGCATCCTGGGTATTTCCAATCCCAGTTGCAAAACCCAGTGGAAAAGTGGAATTTTAAAAGAATGATTAGGTTTTCTTTTTGAAAACCCCAGTTTGGCTTCAAAGGGGTGAAGAAATTTCATAAAATATTATGAAACTTAATGCAGCAGTACACAGTAAAACAAACGTGGGGTTTTCATAATAACAGTGCCTTCCAGTATATATGATGACTTTTTTTGCCTTATAACTTTTTAATATTCACAAAGATGTTTAGGAAAGGGGTATAAAAGTTGCCTTAAAAGTTTCTTGGCCCTTACGCATAACTAGTTTAATATCTTGTATCCCACCTGAGCAGTTCTCTTCCAAGTGCAGGTTTGGCTGGGGTGGTGGCAGCTCCTCCACCTAGCTGCTGAATGCTCAGTTTTATCTCCCTCAGTGGCTGTGCTGTGAAAGGGCGCTGCTGACTCCAGGTGTGAGTTCATCCCCTGGCTGGTTTGAAACCAGTAAATTGTTTACTCAGCCACATAGAATAGGCTCTTGGTCACGAAAAGCCGAGCTGCTGAGCTGTGGGAGGGGCACAGAATCGTGTGTGTGATAGAGAGGGGAGGGCCCATAGCCTTCTAAAATCATAGGTTTGTTTGGTTTTCAAAATTTCTGGAATTGACTTTTGAGTTGCATTTATTTGGGACCTCCATCGGTTTGCCCTTGAAGCCTTCCGTCTACAGCCAAGGCAGGCTTGTGTCAAAGGCGTTCTGAAATCTAGGGAACATGGCTGGAAGACAGTCCCAGCACCCCATCCTCTCCTGATAACGCCTCCACAGTTCCTAGTTGTGTTTAGAAGTTTTGTGCCAAACTGGATGTGCTCAGAGTCAGACCAACGCAAAGCGCAGCTACCATGTCTAAGCTCGGTTCAGTCCCTTAGTTCATCGTGGTCTTTATGGCAAAAGGAAGAAAAGAAAAAGCAGAGCTTTAGGTGAACAATCCAAGTCCAGAAAGACTGCAGCTGCCTTTACACTCCGGCCTATGCTACCTCCTTTTAAAGTTATTCTAGTGTTAGATATTTTTTTTCCTGTGCTCAGGGAATATTGTATTACTTTTGCACTGCCTCATGGAAGCATGGGCAGGGACGTTGACAGGGTATGGCGTTGTTTGGTTCATAAGTAGAAGTATGTGGGCCAACGCTTAGCAGTATCAAAGACAAAGAGGTACAATGGTTTGTTTTTTTCAGTCTTCAAAGGCAAATGAAAAAAAAAATCTAAAGGTGATTTAAGGCTTCACTACAGATTTAAAGTTACACGGATTTGAGCCATGTTCACTGCCTGGATGATCTGAAGGGGTCAGAAGAGATTTGCTGTCCTGGAGGAAGTGCTGTTTGTTTATTGATGAATAGGCCCTTAGTGACCATAGTTCTTTAGGCTATATCTATTTGCTATTTGTCAGTATGTGTTTTTTTTTAAATGTTTTCATTTTATCCTATTATAGACTTCCCCATCATAATCCTGTTACCAAAGAATGTTCAGTAGAAAGTGAAGTTTGGGTCACAATTCCCCTTAAATTGAATTCACTAGAAACAGCCATAAGTATAAAGCATATATAAAGTAGTTACTAACCCAAAACAATAGGGTTTATATTGATTGTTGTAGTTAATTAGACTAGCAATGTTAACTACCCTCTTGTTACCAGAGCATTTAAAATAAGTTCCCTTACCAGCAGCTGATTCCAAAGAATGTCAAATGTAGTTTTTTCTTTTCTTCAGCAAGTAAGGAAATCTTCAACTATACAGTATTAAAGATGTTTTTGAATTGTTGAAATTACTTGTTGGAAAGGAAAAAAAAATCTTATCACCAAAAAAATATATATTAATCTCACTGAATGAGATATTTAATGTTCAGCAAAAGCTTATTTTGCTTGGCAAAAGCAAGCTTCTTTGAAATCTGAAGTACAAAATTCTAAAATGTGAAGGGTCTCACTTCACAGAGTGTCATATTTCAACTCCAAAGAAGCTGATATACAATTGGCAACTCTTTTATTTTCCAAAGATTTATTTGCTGGAAGTCCCGATATATGCATGTCGTTTTTAATGTCAACCATTACAATATACTGCTCATCAGTATTTTCATACCAAAGATCATTAAAATATATAATTTAGCCTATAAGCAAAGATGAGCAGATTTAAAATAAATTTATTTAGAAGCAGATAGAGAATCTAGCTTTAGTGGCAAAAAAAAAATATCAAAAGGCTAAGTTTACATAATTAAAGGCAATACAGTTATATTGGTATTTATCAGTGTTTTTATTCAAGTACTTTATATCATCAAATTAAAAAGGAAAAAAAAAAAAAACCAAAGATATTTAAGGTTAACTCCGCATATAGGCAAAATTAGCTGTACATTGAAGTTGTTTCTTGTTTTTATGTTAAGCGTCTCTCCAGAACCTCCTCTGTATACAGACATCACCAGGACCTTCTGTGAAATCTGCTGGTTCAGCCACAGGATGTTTTTGCCCAATGGTGATTCTTTCTTAGACTTCTTGAGTGTGATGTGCCAACAGGAATATCAGTAGGCGTCTCTGTTGCTGAGTACCATAAGTAAGCCCTAAATTAGCTGTGTAGTCTGCATTCTTCCTTAGAACCATTCCCCAGAGGGTTTAAGGTAGTTCTTTAATAGTAAGGATGTTGTCATCCCAGGATATGACAGGCAAGTTAAACATACCACTGTTTAGGTAAGCTGTACTTTGAATTAAAATGTAGTTTCATTGCCCCAAAGGGGCCAGGCCTTCAAACATAAATGGAAATGTGGATGAAAAGAATTGCTGTTGCTGTTGGTTTTGTTTTGTTGTTTGTTTTGTTTTTTCAGAATCTAGAGATTTATGAAAACACAGATTTACTCACTGACTTTTTTTTTTTAAGTACAAGGGAGTTAGATCCTTGTTGAAATGTTAAACTTTTAATTGCTTTTGCCTCAAACATGAGCAACACCAGCAGCAGGAACAGTGACTGGGCTTCGCATCATTTGTCTAAGCTTTGTGGAGAACTTCTGCCCAAAATAACCCTCCTAGCTGACAGCTTGGGATGTCTGCTCAGTTCCTCAGGAAGACACCTTTGGAAACATCAAAAATTCTAGCATTTCAGGAAATGCTAGAATGCATGAATCTGGTTCCTACTAATCAGTGGCTGTTGCTCTTTCCCACTGTACATTTGTGCATCATTGAATGTCAACCGAATTACTGGATGTACTTTGGTTTAAGTCAAATAACTTTAGCGATCTGTGATCACAGAGTCGTGGGTCCTGGAGACCACCACCTATAGCTGTTCATCTGATTATGAATTTTATTGATGCTTAGATCGTAACCTTAGAGTTCTGTGTTTATGCTCAGGTTGTAAGTTCACGGGCTAATGCAATGTGTGTGTGTGGCAGGCTTTTACTTCTGTTTCCCTGTTCATTCTATTAAAGGTGTAAGAAATGACAGTCTCTCGTTTTCAGAGACAGACACTATGATTTTCCTACTGTTGCTGTAACAAGTTATCACTAACTTGGTGTCTTTTTTTTTTTTTTGGTCTTTTTGGGACAGGGTCTCCCCATAGCCCAGCTGTCCTGGATTCACTATGGAGGCCAGGCTGGCCTCGAACTCACAGAGATCCGCCTGCCTCTGCCTCCCAAGTGCTGGGATTAAAGGCGTGCACCACCACGCCCGGCTAACTTGGTGTCTTTAAACAACACACTGTTACCTTAGAACTCTGTAGGTGAGAAGTATTTGTATTTTTATTTTTTAGACAGGTTCTTGTTATGAAGCCCTGGCTGGCCTGAAGCTTGCTTTGTAGACCAGGCTGGCTTTGAATAGTGGCGATCCTCCTGCCTCTGCTTCCCAAGTGCTTGGATTCTAGGTGTGTGCCACCACCCCAACTGAGGGTCAGAAGTCTGCTACAGGCCTCACAGGGATAAAAATGAATGTGTTGGAGGGGGAGCTGCCTTCCTTCTGAGGGCTGTAGGGAAGAATCTGTTGCCTTGCCTTGTTCAGCTCTTGAAGGCTGTGGGCCCTTTGTCTTCAAAGCTGGCGATGTAGCTTCTTGCGTTGCTTTTCCATTGCCTCTTTTTCTGACCCCAAGATGGAATCGTTCTCTGGTTTTAAGGAGTCACTTTGTTAGATTAGCTTCCTCCATCATCCAGGACAGTGTTTCTCAGATCAGTTACATCTACCATATTTCCTTTGTCACTTAACAGCCTCTGTGGGTGGCCTTTATTTCCCTTATTTCTGTGGAATTCTGACTTCAGTAGCATGGTCTGTGTTATGTAAGAGATTGCAACTATGAAGTTACATTGCCCCTTGGAGATCTTTAAAATTTCAAAGACATGAAAAAATTTGACTCTGTAGTTTACTAAAAGTACA